ATCTGCTTTTCAACATACAAGCTTTGAAGTGATTGCATATAACAGGGCGTCTGGCATCCCAGCCAGACTTGCGATGAAGCTCGACGACAGCGCGGTGCACCAACGCTCAGAACTGCTCGTCGAATCACAAGCTCTTCTCTCGACATCCAACTCAAACGTATAGTCAATCTTCCGTCGATATTTGGATATACCATTACTTGAAATCTAATTTAGCTGGTGATATCAAAGCTTGCCCCCGTTGTCATACTTATATAGTCAAGATGGATGACGGATCTTGTAATCATATGGTTTGCGCAATGTGTTCCGTCGAATTTTGTTGGTTGTGTTTGAAGGAAATAAGTGACCTACACTATCTCAGGTAGGTACAGTTCTCGCAACAAAGTCGTTGTTCCATTGCTCAAATATTCCTTCCAGTCCAACTGGATGCACATTCTGGGGCAAAAAACCTTGGACTCGAAAAAAGAAGCTGCTTTGGCAGTTAGGTCAGTTCAATTACCTTCCGCTATTGTGATGTAAGTTCAAGTCCTACTTAAGGTACTCTTATTGGTGCACCTGTAGGCATAGCTATAATTGCTGGACTTTCTATACCTGGAATTATATTCGGAGTTCCAGTATTTGTGGGAAGGTATGCGTTTGAACCACCATAGACTGATGATAAGACTTTTTGTAAACAGAAACATTGCGATTGAATTCAACCCTAATTATATTAGAAAAAATAGCTCCTTTTCTTTTGCTGGATTCATCATCCAGTTTCTGATTTTCGAATACTTGGTACTCTAGAAAAGTACATCAACGTCTTCTACATCACTCGAATGCACGCCGTCGTCTTCTCACTGCCGCATGCGTTGTTGGGTCGTTATTCATCAGCCCTGTGCTTGCTGTAATGGCTGTAGGTCAGTAAAATTTGTCTCAGTTCAAACTTGTCATTTGAATCTTGTAGCTGTTTATGTTTTCCTGCAATTCTGGACTTTTTTAGGTGTGGGAGTACCAATAATGCTTGCCTATGTTTACGGAGTTGTTCCTCTATCGCTGTGTCGAAATGGAGGTTGCGGTATCTCAGAGTCTAATTCACAAACGGACGCGCTGAACGATGACGATCTGTGGACGTTAGCTTCACGTGCGTGCACTTGAAAGAATTTTTATCCTCAAATTTTTGTTTTATTCTTACGGGCTCAAGATTTGAAATTAACTTAATTATTAGTATCTTCTGCTTAGGATTTCAAAATTAACACTTTTTCCCTATTGCACATGTGCTCAAATTTTCCAGATCAAGACAAATCTCAACTACTTAGTGAGATGGATAGACCAGATGGGTCATCACTTGTAGCTGAACTTTCTCTACAAAGTGGAATATCCGGTGGTATCCAACATCACGTACGACTTGCTGTCAATGACATCCGTAGACGAACAAGTGTTGATTCTGGTAATTTTTTCTAGCTGTGCTCTCATAAACTCACCCTCGTAATTAGTATTTGAAGGTGTGAATAGCCTGTGCGAAAGAATCAACTACGAGGAAGCGAGCACTCGTGCTATGGCGGGCTCTCATTATCACTACGATGATAAGGTGTTTCTTATTGAA